AAAAAAAAAAAAAAAAAAACACTTTTCATCGCCTGTAAGTTATTGCAAATCAGTAGTTTTTCCCACTAGTAGTCAAAATTTCCTTCTCTTTCTACCTGTCTTTGAATTACTGAAGAATGAGCCATTACGTCTGACGTGATGTCGACGCAGCTGAATCATTTCTTTCCCAAATATAATGCCGGGGAAGACCCTTCTAAAAGGCGCGTAATCACGTAGCATACTCAGAAAAACCAGCTTTTTCTAAAAGAAACCGCTAAACGACAGGGTCAACGACTATTTTGTTCAAAAGACAGTTATGAACATCTAAACATCTTAAATATTGTTTAATAAGTTTTAGGTTTTGAAGTAGGCATAATATTGATGATTATAATCTTAATATTCTTATCATACACTGGTCAATTACTTGGCGAAAACTGGGTTATTATGCGTGAAAGATGGTCTGTCTACCAAGACCACTGCAGAAAACCGTATCCCGAAATGGCATATCGTAGCATGGGAAAAAAAATGAGGTCATTTACATCATTGTTATGAACTTCGAACGATTTCTAGTCAGTTTTTTTCGACGCTTTTTAAAGCTAATTTATGCAGTACACGTCACTTTTTCTTTTTTTGAAAAACAACTAATTGGGAAAAAATCAACTAACTTCTTTTAGAATAGCAACAACATTATGTGTTCATACGAACAATTTTGGAACCACTGTTGTATATGTGTTGTTAGCAGCAAGAATTCTCCACAATTTTGTCGCTTATTTTGGTGTGAACATACACTTTTGTTATATGATTCTGATCTTAGGCACTGTTATCTTGCCTGTAACATTTCTGAAATCTCCAGCTGACTTCTGGTTAGTGAATTATCTTGAGTTTGAATGATTTGTGAAAAGTACTCTTTTGCCAAGTAAAACAAGACTTTGACCTTGAATTTTCAAAAAAAGAAATAAAATAAAATGTTTTTTCTTTTAGGGGACTTGTAGTGATTGCGATGGTTTGTACTATCGGTGCTGTAATTTTGGTTATTGTTAGCATCGGTATTGATGCCGAAGAGTGCATAAAAGAAGTTCATTATCCAAAATTCGATTTTTTACAAGCTTTTTTGAGTCTTGGAACGTTTGTTTTTGCCTTCAGTGGTCATGTTGTATTCCCAACAATTCAGCATGACATGCGAGATCCTCGGGACTTTAATAAATCTGCCATTTTAGGATTTATAAGTTTGTTATACATCATATTACGCAAACTTTAATTAAGCGCCTCAGCAACCTACAAAAAACTCGTAATTTATTTCACAGTCAAGTTTATCAGCAAACAAATAAACTAATAAAATAAATTAATTTAAAGCTATCTGAACAACAGTGGTACGACATTCTTATCTAGGTTCAAACAGAAAAATCAAAATTCGTAATTCTTTACAAAATTGTTGTCTGAGCAGAATGTGTAACATAATAGCAAGAATCAAAACATTTTCAAAAGCTTAAAAGCTTACATGGTTCTTATTTAGAAGTAATATAAAAATTATTCTACAAGAAAATTTTTTTAATTGGTTTGAAAAACGTTAAAATCAGATGTCAGCTTTTTCTAACAATATTTTTTTAGTGGTCTCTTTACTGTATGTCCCGTTATCAATATTTGCGTTTATAACATATGGTGACAGCATGAAAGATTCAGTTATTGACTCGTTACAAACTACTTGGATTCGATATACTGCTGATTTAGCTATTGGGCTTCACTGTGTTTTGACCCTAATCATCACGATCAACCCAATAAATCAAGAATTAGAAGATTTTTTCAAAGCTCCACATAGTAAGCTGCATATTTCGAGGCATTAAACATATGTGGCAATACGGAAGGAAAGAGTTAATAGTAATAGACCAGCATTCAAAACTGACAACATAATCTTCTAATAGATATTTTAAATAATTTTATAAACACTAAATCTTTTCAGGGTTCTGTATACAACGAGTCCTCATTCGAAGCGGTGTTTTTCTGGCAGTCTTAGGGGTATCATTGACTATACCAAATTTTGCGCCAGTAATGGACATTTTTGGTAGCGCTGTGATACCACCATGTTGTGTCTTTTTACCTATTGTATTCAACATGTGGTTCAAAGCTGCCGAGTATGACGAAATTGAGAGGGATTATAGACGACCAACAGTGATGCAGTAAGTAGGAGTGTAAATTATGTTTCCTTGTTCATGACTAAAAGCAAACAAAAAAACTATATTTTCTATGTAGTTTCACCCACTTTAAACCTTTGCTTATTAGTGACTCTTGAAATTCATCTTATCATTTTACAGGGTTATTGAACGAACGCCAAGAGTAAAGCTTCTTTGGAATTTTTTAATTATGGGTATGAAGCATTTTGCTAATGCACACTTATTTCCAGTGACTAAATCAACATTTTAACTGTAAAAAGAAACTTAGTACTCTTTTTGAATAATTTCTGCTATGCGTCTTAAAAGAAAAACAGTGCACAACAGTCAAAATAATTATAAGATTCAAGTGCTATACAAGCGATTATATTTGCTAAAAAAAAATGAAACAAAAAACGAAACCAAGTGGGCTTTTTCAATTTTTCAAAACAAATAAAAAAGTTTACAAATCAAAATGCTAGTTCTGTGTTTAGAAAGCAGAAACAATATTTCAGCGGTGGCGTTAGTTGGATCACTGGTCAGCTTTTATATGGCAGTAGAAGACTTTGCGACAGTCACTTTTACGTACCCCTGTTATGTACAACCGTTTTGCAACACCACCACTGAAACTTTAGGCGGTCAACTGGTTAATTGCTGCGGCAAAAATCGTAACGTTAGTGTTCACGGAGACCCAATGGTTTGTCGAATTTAGTTGGCAGTCTTAACTGCCGAAGGAATTTTAATGGCAGCACATTTCTTGAAGCTATTGTCTGTTTCTTCAGCATAAAGCTCTGACATATCTTCAGCTGTAAGCACTGTCTTTTGTTATATAACTCGTAGTACCAGTATTGAAAGAAGTGACAGTATCTGTGGACGCATTCAAAAAAAGCTAAATAGTTAAGAGTACGACCACAAAGCCAAAAATACTATTCTCTGTCTTTGTTTCAAAGTGTGATTTTAAAAACAGATAGATACAATAAGTGCTGAAACTAATTATTTTTCATGCTGTTTTCTCATTCACTTTTATGATGTAGAGAAAGCTGTATTCTCAGAAAAGTTGCAACTTCACCATCTAATGTTTATTCTTTGAATATCAAATTGTGCCTGCCAGTATATTGTAAAAAGTGAATTTCTTTGAGAATTCATTGTCATTTGCTGGCGATCTCAGCTACAAAGTAAACTTTTACAATTTATGTACTGATGTTTCTCAAGTAGTATTTATGCTGATGCCAATCTTTCACAAAAATCTAACAAAACTTTTTGCATTCGTCTTAAAGCAGCTAAATTACTCTGAAGTCACGTACTTTCGGTTCATTCTTAAAAATTTTTTCAATTGTACAGCGTCTTCTTTTTCCCGTTATTTGCGAATACCGTCAGACTTAGAGCTTTACAATAATGTGATAAACCTGTATATGTTTCAGAATTTCGCACTCAACAATTGTTCACTTGTCGCACTAAACATCAACATTTTGATTTTTACATGTAAAAATAATATCTAAAAAATGTTTTTCACCCAGTATATACAAAACTGCAGCAAGCGTTAAACACTTGCCAGATTTAATATTTACTGTAAAATGCTTTTCCATGTACTCAATCAACGTTTTTTTGGTGAAGTTCCTTAGTGTAATCTTTTTTTTTTTTTGCGTTTAAGTAAAATTTTTTGAACAGATTCATTTGGAAAGAACTTGCAGTGCTTCTTCTAATAGTAATTCTTAGAGGTATTCGTGAGTTGAGGTTCAAGAAAACAGCTTTTTTGCATCTTTCTGTTCTTAGGAGTCAGTTAAAATGAGAAGTGAGCCACAACTTGGAAAATCGTTAAAAGTAGGTGTCGTGGTTGATTTAAAGGGTCTTTTTAGGCGGACTGTTTGGCCAGAAAAAAGAAAATTGAATGAAGACGAAGCGGAGCGAGGAGCTGCATCGATAACATCTACTCAAGAAAATGTTAAGAGGTTAGGCGAAATATTGTTGTCTGCCAAGAAAGTTTCTATGTGAGAAATTGTGCAAGACATAAGGCTGAACTATGGTGCAGGTTTGAGAGCCCTAAAAAGTGCTTTCATGTAAAAGCAATTGCAGCACAATAAATTCTAAAAACTCCTCCGAAATTTGGGGGCCTTTGCGCGCGATTTTCAGTAGGAATATTATGTTTTTCAAAGAATGGTTTTAGAGGCTGGTCAAACATTAAAAATATATCATTACGAGCCAAAATTCGTACGACATAGGAGGCACTGGATCTGTAAACAATCAATAATGCTTGTTAAAACAAGGATAAAGCCAAGATTCAGGAAAATATAAACAGCACCGTTTTGGAAATTGAGAGAAAAACTGGCGGCTGATTAGTATGATTTAATCTTGTTTCTAGATGACCTCAAGAATTTGAAATCTATGTTTGGAAAGTGAATCTGCAGAGAAAAACCTGTACAGTTTCATTTCACATATTTACTGTAATAGTTCAAAAATTGTTAATTTCTAAAGCCTCTTTGAACACATTATGATCAAATTATCCCATTAAAATAACATAAAACATTTCTACCAAAGAGAGGTTTAGCAAAATCAAATAGTTTTTAACTTTGATAAACACAGGAAAATTTATGAGATGTCAATTGCAAAACTGTCACCTACTTGAATACTAATTTAAAAAACGGTTACCGAATCATTTCTTAAAATTTATTGCTAATAGCTAAAATTTGACCCCATCTAAATCTCAATCACCAAATCATACTTAAAAAATTCTTTTTGTGAATTTTCCTTAAAACGATTAATTACTAACTTTGAATCGTGACTGTCTGCAAAAACTGCTGAGGCTCTTAACCCTAGTAAACGCTGTAACGTGTTCTAATACTTACCGTGACATAGAGTTTGCGAGGAGAAAACATAAACAACTGGCAAAAAGTTTATAAGACCAATAAGCACACTATAATCAAGAGACAAACTGTAACCTGAAAACTAAAACTGTAATATTCAATAATTCAAAGTATTAATTGTCTTCCAGCAGTAGAACAGGTAATTGGCCAGCCAACGGCAGAAGGAAGGAACCGAGACCCTAAGAACAGCTGAATTTGGTAAAAAAGAGAGAAAGAAAAGCATTCAAAGCTTTTTTTTATAGGAACCTTCTAGTGTAAAAGGTGTTAGCCTTTCAGATTACTTAAGTAAGCAAGATTTTGAAGAAGTTTTAGTTGTAGCAAAAAAAATAAATAAAAGAAAAGAACAAGGACAAAAAAACAAATTTTTTTCAGTCATTTGCCACCGTTTATATTGGCAACACTTCGTTCGCTGTAACAGTTTTGGGGAAGCGCTAATTTAAATTTTGGTGAATTACTGCTGTTGTTTCGTGCGCAAAACTTTGGAGTAATGTTGTACACCTAAAAGCTTTTCAAAAGCAATGAGAAAATGAGTATTGCTAACTATTTTCATTTCTATGTCACATTTTGACCTGCACAACTTTTTGTTTTAACCCAGATTTTGAAATTTTCAGAATGTATGTATTCGTGTGACGTTAAATTGTTGTAGTAAAACTTCGTAAAATCAACAGATGACAAATTTTTTTCAAAAAATTTTTTACTGTTTTAAAGAAAAATATAAAATTTTTGCTTTATAGACTCTGACCAAGTTAAATAACCGTGGTTGCAGAAAGAATGACGTTTATTATGTCACCGACCTACTGTACACTGCTTCTATCTTTGATAGATACGATAAAAATATCTGACATAAGAATTCTGACAGTGGCATGATAATTAATTTAGAACTAGACAGACCCCTCGACAAATCAAATAATCAAAATTTTTGTGAGTTGTAATCTCTGCGTTAACTAAAAAAAATATTATTTGTTTTTGAACTAAAAACGATAAATGGAATGGTCAATTTTCTAGTTCTCTTCTATTTTGTTTTCCCACCTAATAGATTTCAGCAAAAAAAAAAAAAAAAGGTTCGCTTTTTCTGACAAAAGTGACAATTTCTGGTCGCAAAGCCATTTCAAAAGATCTGAACTTACATATATGTCTACTGATTTGACCTAATTTTATTAAGATTCTTCATGTGTAGCAAATTTGGAATGGGTTGCGATATGCAGTACTGAAGCGAACGAAGACAAAACTGGACTGTTTGAAATAGAACTTCGCAGTTTTTTTCTGGCTAAACTTTTTTCTAGTTGCAAGTTAAAATTCTTTTCAAAAAGAGTCACTTTTTTCAAGCAATTGTTGCTCTCTTATTCGTAAAATAAACACTTTTAAAAAAACTTTCACGAGTAAAACCTAAAGTTAACTCTGTAATTTTTGAAAACTTTTATAGAGCTCTAAAATAACTTAGTACCGCTTCCTGTAACATGACCAGTGTGATTTCGCGACTTGAAAGAAACAAAGCAAAGTTAATTTTTTTGGCAGACTTATTCTAAATTCATCGTTATACATATTTGCTGCCTGTTGCAAAAAGCAATTAGCAGGTGAGGCACTCATGCTCTTTAAAAAGTTGTTCTTCTTTTTTAGATCTTAAAATTCTAACTTTCATCCTCAGTGGTTTAAACATGTGAAGCTTCTACAGTTTATCACCGGAGTAACTAACCTATTTTTGATGACACTGAAAAGCCGAAATTTTAGAAATTAAAT